TGAAGAACTTGTTGCCCTTGGTGATAATGGGGGCAACCCACGCATCGGCCGGGGACACGACGACAGCGGTGGCGAGTGCGGCGGCGGCGCAGAGGCCGCGGATACGGGAACCGAAGGCCATTGTTGATGAGGTTGGACTGGAGTGAGGTGAGGTGAGGGGCTGTAAGTACTGAGTCGACCTGTGCAGGGCTTGTCAGTGGGGAGTCCGGTCGCTTCTCGTCGACGGCGAGCAGCAAAATGGAGAATGAAGAGCGGTCAGGTGGGAGAGCGAGCTCAGCTCATGCGCTCTTAGGCCCGTTCTCAACCGGCCGCATGCGGCCGCACCGCATCGCACAGTTTTGTACAATGCGGCTGCATGCGGCCGCATCGGTTGAGAACGCTCGTACGGCCGCATTGTGCGCCCTACCCGCATGAGCTTCCAGATGACATCGGCCAATTCGAACTCAAACATACCAAAAGCAGCAACGCGAAGTATGATGAGTTTTGCCGAAGACTCGTATTTCTCGATGCTAGCTCATACACCAACTGAAAACAATTTATGAACAAGTACTTGTACGCCTGTAGTGGATTAATGCTAAATAGGTATCCGACGTACCAGTAGATTAAAACCAAACAGCAAGAATGCAAGGCAACTCACAAAAACTGTAATGAAAACGGAAACTCGTTAAAAATTTCTAAATCGGCCATCGATTTTGAAGCTACACGCGCTCTACGCTAAAGGAATCTATTTTGCTTTGTGCAGCAAAAGATTACGCACTTATATCTCTTCATTATACTGGTGGGGTTAACTTACAAGTAGCTTCTGTAGCATAAGTTGACGATCCACTCATTGAGTAGCTCCACCATATCGCTGTAGGTGGACGGTTTTTCTTCACACTGCTGGTTGACCAGCGTAGTAGATCTTTTTGTATCGCTTTCCTTATTGTTGTCTGCGCCAGGTTTTTGCTGAAGATGTTTGCAATATGCAGAAACACAACAAGTTTTTCGACATACTCACATTTTATTTTAGTGCTAAACCTCTGTTGACTCAAATAAAAAGCTCTACTGATGCCACCTAACCGTGCCTTTCGCCTCAGCACGCCTTCGCCGATATCGTGCGGGCATGGAGGTATACGTTAGCTCGCTTGAAAGCCCAAACATCATGGTTGGCTGTGGATATGGGCTGTTTGTCATCATAAATCAAGTAAAGTTAGCAAGGTCTCGAATGCATAACAACAATCATCTCCATAGGCACTGCACC